GACCCCAGGCTGAGCGTGGACGTCCCTGGCTCACCTGCCCCTGACCCCAGGCTGAGCGTGGACGTCCCTGGCTCACCGGCGGGCAAGTTAAGCTCGTCACCACCACCAGGTGGCAGCAGAGCATCCCGGACCTGGCTCACACACCTGGTAGTTGTCGGTGGCATCGCCCAGAAGCCCACCAAAGGTGATGGCGTTGGTGATACAGCCGAGGTAGATGAAGAGGATGGCGGAGATGGACTGCAGGTGGAAGCCGTCAGTGAAGTCGCTCAGGAACCAGGGCAGCTTCCTCTTGACGTCCAGACACAGGCCCCCAAAGAACCTGCCCGAGAGACCGGGACTGCTTCCTCCCGTCAACCCCAGGCAGGGCAGAGCTAGCTACAGAGTCCGGGGTGGTGGGAGAGGGGGGAGGCGGGGACGGGAGATGAATTCCTGCAGGGTTGAGAGGGTGCCCTTGGGCCTGCACTGGAGACGGAAGGCCTGGTGGGGCTCTCTAGGTAGCCCCAGCCCTGTGTGGAGAACGGGCGCCCTGGGGCCCAGAGATGGTGGAACTCTGGTCCACCTACAGCAGGACTCTTGAGCGGGGTGAACACAGGTGCGCCTGACTTTAGGGAAGGGACGTGCTGGAAGATGCCACAGAGCCTGATAAATGGTCTGTTTTCTACAACTTCACAAGTGATTTTTACGTTTAGGGACAAAGTCAGCTGGAGACTCCACTCTCAGCTTCACAACTGTTAACAGTTGCGGTTGTGTGCCGTCTAGTCAGAGCCAACCGACAGCTGACCCTCCAGTGGGTTTTCCGAGGCGGTGAATGGCCAGGAGGAGACTGCCCATCCCCCTCCAGCAGAACCGCAAGTGCATTCGAACTGCGTGCCTTTGGGACAGCAGCGCAGTTTGCTACCACTAGGCCACCAGAGCTCAGTATTAACACATGGACTAGATGACCCTTTACTGCTGGAGGGGGTCCTCCGTGTTGTGATGTCTATCAGCATCCCCGGCCTCTATTCCTTAGATGCCAGTAGCTCCCCCCCCCTTCTCAATACAACAAACGAAACCTCTAGACACTGCCCCAAATCCTAGGGTGGAAGGGAAGGGGGCTGCGTCACCCCTCTGTGACAAACACTGGCCCAGCTCCACAGTGGCCTCCAAAAGCATCAGAAACACAGCTCCTTTGTCAAAGGGGACACTGACCTTTTCTTGACAGGGCATTCCCCTCCTCCCCTGCCCCCAATTTGAGAGCAAAGATAGCCAAGTCAGGAGAAATTTCTTTTAAAAAGTTTTGGGTTAATAAGTAAAGTTTTAAAGAGTTAGAAAAGTACTAGAGAGTATCTCAAGAGAACTTTGGTTCTCGCCCTCCATGTCCTAGCCTGGGGCCCTGCAGCAGCCACTCTGGTGGGTCTAGGGGGGGTCTCTGGGGGTCCAGGGTGAGGGCGGCAGGCTGAGGTGGAGTTACTGGGCAGCAGGGAGGTGGACGGGCACCTTCCAGTCCAGAGCAGCTCCTCCCCGATCTCATGCGTGGCTGGCATCTCCTCGTCATCGCCGCCGCTCCCGCCTCCAGCCCCAGCACCTCCGCCGGCCACGCCGCCTCCACCACCACCTCCGGGCGCCCCACCACCAGCCACCTGGCCGTTCATCTGCCCGAGCTCCGCCAGCGAGAACACGGATTTCCTGCCAAGAGAAGTGTGAGCTGGGGTGGCCCAAACGACAAGTTAAAAGACGCGTCTCCAACCCGTGGGGGCTTTGCCGGGCACCCAGGTGGGTGGACCATGCTAACTCGGCCAGATTGGCTGCAAAGAAGTCTCAGAGCAAAAACAGACACGAGGTTCTCCACTGTCTGCCCCCCAACCCTACACATACCTCTTGTCTGCTGAGGGGACTTTCTTGGGGGGCTCAATTCGGATATTCGGGTCCCATTCTCCCGGGGGAAGGACGATGACCTCGTCCAGGAACTCATCAATCCCTGCAATCAGGTCGTCCCTGTTGCGGGCTTTATAGGCCACATCGCTGAAGAGCTGGGGACAGAGGACGAGAGCAAAGCTGATCGTCCCTCACGGCCCCTTCCTGCCCACGTCACCGACAGTGTTAGACAAAGCAAACTCGTTCTCGGTTTCCAAGGAGGGAACACAGAAGGCAGGTAAATTAGGATGCAAAGGGGGGGGGGTCCTCCTGACCGGCCAGTCCTATGCTGTCCAGAATCATGCCCTTGCCAAGCACTGGACGCTGTCCCTGCCAAGCATCTGAAGACACCATCTCCCCTCAACTTTGCCGTAACAGCTCAATTAACTCACTGCCGGCCAAGAGGGACCCGCTCAGGCTGACCCTGCGGGGGGCTTTAGAGGCTGTAAATCCCAGGAAGAGGTGGCTGCCATCCCCCTGCAGAGCAGCTGGGGGATACGCTGTTATGTCGCCTGTGACCACCGCCCTGAAGCCTGCCCTGGACTGAGCCAGTCTCGCTGACTCCCACACAGCTACCCCACTGCCCCAGCTACCACGCCGGTCCGTCCTGTCCGGGGTCTTCCTCCTTCCCACCCTTCCAAGCATGAGGTCCTTCTCCAAAAACTGGTCCCTGCTGGCCACATGCTGGCGGACACAGCAGCATTAAAACACAGGCTGAACTCACAGATCTTTTACGCGAAGACACACTGTAGGGCTCTATGAAAATGACAGCCGCTCCTGCCTTGCTCTTTCACTGGGAAAACAGGCCTGCAATGTGCTCAGTCATCCTTTCCATTTGTCTCCTCTTTCTGCACTGGGCAGAGCAAGTTCTCCTTAAGCCACAGACCCACTGCCGTCCAGCCACAACCAGCTCACAGCTGACTCTGCAGCGGGCCGTCCGAGGCTGTGAGTGCTGCGAGGACAGTGTCCACCCTTCTCTCTCGGGGCTGCTGGGGATTTAATATGCCGACGGGTGCTGCCTCTCAGCTTGCAGCGGCCCCTCACCTGCCTAAGTGACCAGAGGCCCCCACCTTCACCACGTTGTTGTTATTGGGTGCTGTCGAGGAGGGTATGACTCGACTCACAGGGACCCACGGCCTGAACCGGGTCCTGTCCGTGCCGTCCTCATCTCTGACACACGCCAGTGCGTCACCGTGTTGGCCCATCTCACCGGGGATCTCTCTCTCTCTGATTCCCCGTTTTCCCAGCCTGCTGTCTTTTTCCAAGGACCGGCCCCTCCTCACAACAGGAGAGTCCCTGTGGGCTGGACCCAGCTGAGCACTGGGCTGTGTTGAATCCTTTGAGCCCTTCTTCGCAGGCCCTGGATGGTGGAGTGAGAGATGCTACTGCCAATGGAGAGCCGGGCAGTGTACGTCCAGCCAGCGGCAGGATTCCGCCACCAAGAAGCCGTGGAGAGGCCTGCGACGGTCACCTCTGCTCTGACACACGTGTGTTCACCGAGGGGCCAAGCTGGCTGGACAGCCACCAGTGTAGGCCTTCCCTCTTGGAAGGCCAGCGCGTCTCTCTACACACTGTCTCCAGCGATGCTGTCTAAACGACAGAGCTGGTCAGCCTGCGTCCAGGCTTTAAGTCCCCGTGGGGCCCCGGTGGCTGTTCGAAACTCCCAGCCAGTCTGGGGGAGACAGCTGAGGCACTCTGCTCCCGTGGGGGGCTCAGCCCTGGAAACGAGGCAGGGCCTTTGTAACCTGCCCTGCAGGCTCACAGGGACTCAGAACCGACTCAGGGCAGCCGGCAGGTGAGGTCCCCTCCCCACCGTGTCCCCAGCCCTGACCTCAAGGCACTGTGTGGTCTCAGGCTCCTGTGCCATCTCCAGCTCCTGACTGCTGTCACCTTCCCTCAAGGTGCTGTACCGTCTCTGGCTCCTGTCGCCGTCACCTGCCCTGAGTTCTCACACTGGGTCCCCAGGAACCACTTCTCCTGTAAGTCACCGTCACTGTCCCCTTCGTCTGGAATGCCCACTTCCTAGGCTCAGGGTGATCAGGAAGGGTCAGTTTCTGGAGAAGAACATCATGTTTGGAAAAGTGGACGGGCATGAAAAGAGAGGAGGCCCTCAACGATGCGGACGGATACAACGGCTGGAACCAGGGGCTCAAGCATGGAGCCGGTGAGAAAGGGCAGCATTTCAGCCCGTTATTCGTGGGGTCACTGAGTCGGCACCCACTCAACGGCACCCAAGAACAACAGTCTCAACATGAGTTTAAAGATCAAAACCGCAGGGCTGGTCTGTCCACAACAGGGCACCTCCACCTGCTTCCTATGCATCTGCAAGCTGGACACTGAGTCACGAAGGCTGAGAAAGAACGGAGGCACGGAACTGTCTGTGGGAGAGAACAGGGACCGTCCCACGGACTGCCGAAAGAACAGGCGAGGCTGCCCTGGAGGAAGGTCAACCGCAGGGCTTCTTTAGGGCAAGGATGGTGAAGTACCACCTCACAGACTGTGGGCGCGTCGTCAGGACCAGGGAGTCCTTGGAAAGGGCATCAGGCTGGGAAAGACGGAAGGTCAGAGAGAGAAAGGCAGACCCCGATGAAATGGACTGACTGTAAGAACAGGTTCGGGCCTTTCAGAGATCAGGAGGACGGCACAGGTCAGGGCAGGGTCCAGATCTGTTCACAGGGTCACTGTGAGTCACAGTCACCTTACTGGCACCTAACAACAACATCTGTGACTTCTTGGAACGAGTTAATTATTTGACTAGAAATCTGTTTATCTCACTAGATTGAGGCTCCGGACCTAGACTGTGGCCTGGTTCTCATACTCTTCAGTGCGGGGGATGGAATGTGCCGAGACGCGCGGGTGGACGGATGACTGGACGGCGCTGGGGCGGATACCTCCCGCTTCTCATCACCACTTACATCGTCGACCATGAGGGTGGCAATGGCCCGGCCGATTTCATTGTAGGACTTGGCTCTTCCAGGAGGTCCCAGCAGGATGAACAGGAATCTGCAGAGAAGGAGGAGGAGGAGATGAAGATGAAGGAGCAGAAGAAAACGACAAGGAAAAGCAGGAGTGGCGAGAAGGTGGAATCCTTCTACATCTGCACAGAAGATTTGCTGGCATCGAACGGTGTCCGCCTCCAGCACTGTAGCTGCCCACAGGCTGACTGCTCTTACGGATGCTGGGCTGACCCTGGACACATCTCTTTATTCAGTCCTGGTGTCCTCCCCCGACCACTGTCTGCTGCCTCCCCTCACCCAGAAGCATCTCTCCCAATAACTGGCATCTTTCTTCTGTAACCACTGAAAACAACAGCGTGTTAAATCTTTTGTTGCTGTTGTGTGCTGTCCAGTCAGAACCAGCCCACCGCTGCTCCTGCCGCGGGCTCTGGAGGCAGTGAACTGCACGGGAGATTTCCCATCCGTCTCCTGGGGAGCAGCTGGTGGATTTGAACCGCATTCCTTCAAGGATTGCAGCACAGGTTCTCACCATGAGGCTGCCGGAGCTCCATACATATTTATAAATGAACACTTCTCAATTCAACGACATTTACGTGCACGATGGCTTCATGAAGCTGTGTGATGAGGTTCAAGAAACGTTTCGAGTTCTTGTTCCGGCCGGAAGAATCCCCTCCCCCACTGTAAATGCCCTCCTCTCCCTCCCGTGTGAAGGGGTCTCTCACAGCCTGGGGCGTGTGGTGGGGAGTCAGGGCTGTCCACTCACCTGGTGGGGACAGGCACCTCTGTCATCCCTCCCAGCATGGCGGACTGGATGAGCCGAACGAACGCGATGAAGGGCTGGTCCAGGAAGTCCACCTCGCCCACCAGCACGTTGGAGGCCTCTGAGTCCTTGGGGAGCTTCTTCATGAACTTGTTCTTCCGCTGGTCAGGGGAGGAGACAGGACACCCAGAGACCAGCCCGTAACTGCAGGATTCAGCTCTCACTTCCTCACTCCCCTCCCACCGCCTGAACTTCAGTTCTCTCAAGATCACGTCACCACTAACATCTGGTGTCACCCAGAGCGGTAACTGGGGCCCATCCCCTCCCCTCCCCGCGCATGGACCACCTCCCAAACCAGGCTACACAGATTCCTAGTCATCGGTCAACTCAGCAGCTCGACTCCTTGTTGGTGAGAAGTGATTCTCAGCTGTTCTTCCAGGAGGTTTTCAGAGGCTGTAAACTCTAAGGGCAGGGACTGCCCATTCTTCTCTCAAGGGCCAGCTGGTGGATTCCAACTGCCTGACTGTGAGTCAGCGGTGCAACTACTTGCCCTCCAGGCCACCACAGTTCTTTTAGTTCAGTGTCAAGTTCAATCACAGAATGTTGTTGCTGAGTACTATCGAGTTGAAAGCGACCCATAGCTGACCCTCCGGCAGGTTTTCAGAGACAGTTAATCACAAGGGAGGAGACTGCCCATCTTTCTCCCATGGAGCAGCTGGTGGATTCAAACCATGGGCCTTTGGGATTTTAGCGCAGCTTCTTGCCAATAGGCCACTAGAGCACCCTTATCATAGAAGTAGTTGTGTGTTATTTCTTAGATTACATGAACACTGAAATGAAAATTATTCTATTTTTCCTATACTGTTGTTGTGTGTGTGCCGTTGAGTCTTCAGCGACTCATAGTGACCCTATGAACGAGATACCTGGACACTTCCTGTATAACATTCTTCCTTTCTCCAGGTTCACAGGGTTTCTGGAGGCAAGCTATGTAGGAAGTAGATGCCACTCCTGCTTCCACGTTTGTTTTAATCAGGAAGCTCCACCAAACACTGTCTGCCATGGGCAACCATTATCGCATTTGACACATCAGTGTCACAGTGTTCAGCTTCACAGCAACCACGAGTTACCTCTTGTTTCCCTACTCTACATTATAGTATTATTAGTTCCAGCATTATTAGTAACTGAGAGGGAGCACGGATCCATGGTGATGAATTTTATCAAACACAATGTATGGAATGATACTATGAAGCATAATGTGAACAGAGGAATCTGTGAAACAATATATATAAACAAAACAGTGGATACTGGTTTCAATTTTGTATGCAAACCAATACAAAAGAAAAAGAATTTTAAAAAGTTGTTCCCTTTTCCCTTTAATTACTACTCATCTCCTCTGACTGCTGTGGAGTCCGAGCTCATGGCTGACCCTCCAGTGGGGTTTCAGAGGCTCTGAATCACACAGGAAGACACTGTCCATCTTTCTCCTCTGGAGCCACTGATGGATTCAATCCTGCAGAGAAGTGTGTGGCCTGAGGGTGAGCAGTACAACCCACTCTGAACGCTGACCAGAGCTCCTTAATGAATACTACACGCTCCCAAAAGTTATGATATACAATCACAAATACTAATTCCCACACCACTGTACCAAAACATCAGAGTCTGACAAAAGCAGCGACTTTAAAACTCCAGAAACGAAACCAACAAGGAAAAACACAGAATCAGAAGCATCACTGTGATTGGATCAGATCACAGCTCCTCTACCTGGGGTGCAGAACTGATTATCTGGGACGCTGGGCTCTATGAGGAGGAAAGTGGCATCAGGATTGGAGGAAGATTCATCAACAACCTGCATTATGCAGATGACACAACCCTGCTTGCTGAAACTGAGGAGGACCTGAGGCGCTTGCTGCAGAAGGTCAAGGACTGCAGCCTTCAGTATGGATTGAGGCTCAATGTCAAGAAGACAAAGATTCTAACCACTGGGCGAAGTGGCAGCATCATGATAGATGGTGAAGAGATTGAGATTGCTAACAGTTTTAGTTTGCTTGGCTCCACAATCAACACTCTTGGCACCAGCAGCCAGCAAATTAAATTAAAAGACATATTGCGATGAGAAAGTCTGCTGTTAGAGACCTCTCCAAAGTACTGAAGAGTAATGATGTCACTCTGGAGACGAAGGTGCACCTGATACAGGCCATGGCCTTTGCAATCACTTGCTATACATCAGAGAGCTGGACAATGACAAGGGAGGATAGAAGGAAAATTGATGCCATTGAGCTGTGGTGTTGGAGAAGAGTACTGAATATATATCATGAACTGCTAAGAAAATGAACAGGTTCATCCTGGAGAGGGTGAAGCCAGGCTGCTCCTTGGAGGCAAGGATTCTGAGGCATCGTCTGACATACTTTGGACATGTTGCAAGGTGGGACCATTCCTTGGAGAGAGACATCATGCTTGGGAGGGTGGAGGGACAGCGCAGGAGAGGAAGACCCTCGATGAGATGGATTGATTCAGTGACTGGGGTAATGGGGGTAGGTGTGTCGGAGATGGTGAAACTCGCACAGGATAAAGCAGGGTTTAGGGCTTTTGTACACAGGGTCATTATGAGTCACAGGCAATTCGACAGCACATAACAACAAAAACGACCACCTGAGGTAAGCATTAGACAGTCAAAGCACAAACACAGCCTAGCGCTTGAGCCTTTTAGGCATACTGGTACACGCAAGCTGAGCTTATGAAAATTGTTTATGACACATCCCACTGCAGGGGCAGTTTCAGAAAAACCTAAGTTTCTGCAGAAACACGGCACATCTTCTAGACTGCCACGCTGACGTCAGCCTCCCTGACGGTGTCTCCAGCGTGAGCACAGTGTTTTTCTGCTGGTGATGACACTGGTCTATCCAACAAGGAAAGTAACCCCTCAGTCCCATTTTTCAGATGAGGAGATCAAAAGCTAGCTAATCCCAGAGTCTAATTAAAACTTCATTTTAGACGGAAATCATGACAGATGTTGCGGTGTTGGAGAAGAGTATTACCTATCCCGTGGATTGCCAAAAGAATAAAGAAGTCTGTCTGAGAGAAGTCACCCAGGGAGTTCCTTACAGGCAAGGATGGTGACATGGGTCTCACCTTGGGCATGTTGTCAGGAGGGGACAGTCGTCATGCTGGAACAAGTGGAGGGTCAGAGAAAGAGAGGGAACGGGAAGGCCTGGCACAGGCCCTGCGACAGTGGGCACAAGCACCTCAGAGACGGTGCAGGAAAGAGCAAGGTTCAGATGCGTGGCTCACAGGGCCACTGGGAAGGGCTGACTCACTGACCGCTAAGAGCAGCGGCATCAGAACACCAGGATCTGCATCCTGGCTTTACGGCTTTTCATCTTTACGAATTCAGACATGCTGCTTAGTCGATTTAAGCCACAATATTCTACTCAGTAACATGGGCATAACAACAACAACATATGTCTCTTTCGGCTTGAATCTTCCAGTCGCTTGCAGGGAGGAACGCAGGCAGTGTCCTGTTAGAACGGACAGCCTTGGAAAGCCAGTGAAGTGTGGGTTTGCTTTGTTTTTCCTGCCTTCGGATTTATTTGTACAAACAGCACAGGAGGACACCAGTCCCAGGCAGATGGCAGCTGCCCAGGCGGTCACCCCAGTCCTTCTGTCCTCAGATGGAGGACTCAATGGTGGAGCCTCTGCAGGGACCGGGGCACCTTGAGGAGCCTGGCCTGGAGCAGGAGCCTGGGTTGAGGCCTTGGCTGGCGCCTGAGTTGAGGACTTTGCTGGAGCTTCTGCCTTCCTGTCAGCCTTGGCTTTGGATTTTGGCCGGTCAAAGCCTGAGCCCCTTGGCAGTGTGGGCCCCAGCGCACTTCCCAAACCTGGGATGGGTGATGTAGGCGAGTCGGCTGAGCTTGTGGTTGAGATACCTTCGCATCCTGGGCTTGACGAGAGCCTTCCCAGCCTCGGCACGTTCATCTATGGCTTTGGCATTGTTGGCCTGCATCTTCTTTAGGCCTTTGTTGTTGTGCTTCTTGGCAAATTACATGTTCCTCAGGAATTTGGGGTCTACCCCCTTAAGAGACTCATATCGTTGCCATCTTGGTTTCTTGAAACCATTTCTGTGCCATTTTCGGGACTGGTTGTGGGGGGTGTGGTTCTTGGCTTGGCCATGTCTGCACCGTCACCGCAGCTCCCAGAGCGCCAGCGACCGGAAGCGAAATGTGGGGTTTTTAAATGAGTTCACCCCCAGTAGAGGCGTCCCTGCCTCCTATCCGCTGGCCTGGACCTTCCGCCTACGTGTAAAGGTTCTGGGGGTCCTGGGAAGATAGAACTACCTCCGCTTCACAGATCCCATGCTCGGTGACAGCTGGGCCCCTGCTCATGGCCCTCTGTCCCCTGACCCCCCAGGGCCCGAAATACGGGCTCAGCATCGACTGGAGGGGTGCCCTCCTTTCACACAAAGGTCCCTTTTACCGCCTGCTCCCCCAGGGAGGGGCCTCCTTACTTGGTCCGTGTTTGCTGTGTGAGAAATGTCGTTCATGCTTCTGCTCTGGGCGTGACCTAGGAGAGAACACAAGATGACCGTCAGGGGTCCAGGAGCCCACAGGACACCATGGACCCTCGTCTCTAGTCACAGAGAGAAAAATGGGGTGAACCCTACCGTCATAGCACCCACAGCCACCACTGGGGCCTAGTGAGAGGCCCAGCGCTGAGCTGACTTCCCCCTCGTCTGGGCTTCTGTTCATACCACTTTCTCATCATGCTTCATTTCCAAGTTCCTGCTACTCACAGACTAAAAACTCACAGGCTCTTCACCCCCCACTGCCCAGAAAGTGACCCCCACACCTCAGAAGCCCTCCTGACCGCTCCCCAGTTCCCCCAGCTGTGCGCAGATCAGTGCCTCAGCGTAGAGATGGAGGGGCTGCTGTCACCTGTGGGAGGGTCTCTGGGGGTCTGCTGGGGAACGGCCTGTCCTGCCTTTAACAAGCATATCGTGGGGCGGTTCCATGAAAGCAGGGAAAGGATAAGTGTAGTGACAACAAGGTACTGAGATGAAAACGCCCAGGAACTTTCTCAACAACAAACTGAGTATCGATATGTCTGGGCTGATTTAGAGCTTTGGTTCAGAGTCACGGCTGAAGCTTGAGGCCTGTCAATCAGCACCTGAGGTGACTCAGACTCAGGGAGGACTCACAGTGCTGACGGTCGGGCTGAGAATTCCACAGGCATTCTGCGCCCAGGCCCCAAGGAAAAGGCCACACAGCACATCCACCAGGCCGAAAGGGCAAGCAGCAAAGACCCCAAATGGAACGAACCAAATCGTATCCAGCAGTACAGAACCACCAGGAGAAAAGAGGTGCTCACACAGACTCCACCACTGAGAGAGGACACCATCGCTCTAGAGAGGACACCCACAGACTCCACCACTGAGCAGAGAGGACACCCCCACACAGACACCATCAGAGAGGACACCCACACACAGACGCCATCACTGAAGGTTAGAAAATCCTCACATAGGCTCCCTCACAGGGAGAGGACACTGTAACACAGTCCATCACTGAGGGGGTGAATAACTTCCTGTAGACTCTTCTTTCACAGATGGACAGTCACATACATGCACATGCTCAAGTGCACACAGACACACACATACAGCCCCTCCCATGGGCAGAGGACAGACTCACACAGACGTCCGTAGTTGGCGCTGTCCCGCACCCTCAGGTCCTCTGTGGAGCGGTGCAGAGTGCTGCGGGGTGTCGGACTGCGGGCTGGGCTGCGGGCTGTGAGGAGAAAAGAGAGGACATGAGTGGGCATCCTCCCTGGTCAGCACCTCACTCACATGAGTGCAATCATGCAGACACACCTGGCCTAGGAGGCCCACCTGGCCTGGGAGGCCCACCTGGCCTGGGAGGCCCACCTTTCCCCTCCCAGGAACAAGTGTGCGTTTGTCAAACATGTTTGTTCTTCACGGCTGTGCACACGATTCCCCTGGCAGAACCCTCCACAGTGTCAGCTAACCCCGAGGCTTTCTCAGATGCATCCGACGTTCAGTCTTGGCACTCTGTCGTGGGTACAACTGAACACTTCCATGTTTTCCACATACTCCTGAACAGACATGAGCAGGTCCAGACACGAGCAGGTGGGAAACTGAGCCTCTACCGTAGCTGAAGGTCAGACGGCCGTAGCGGACGTGGTGGAGGTGCTTCAGCCTGTCCCTCCTCCAGCATTCGAGAACAGGCCAGGAGCCACCACACCGTTCCTCTCCAGGAAATTCTCATCAGCTTCTGCAGTTAACGATGTGTTGGCACATTTGCCAATGATCTTGGCTTTGACCTTGGGTCAAATGGGTCAATTGCTTCTCACTGGCTCCTGGAATCAGTATGTCTACCTCCAAGCTGCTCCCTTCACAGGGCTTTCCTTTGGGGAAACTCAGGATTGATCCCAGTTGCAATCTGAAGTCTTCAGTTCCTCCAGATCAATGCCATCTGGCCTCCATATACTCCCATCAGATTCCCCAACACCAAAACGTTTAGCCTCAAAGCCAAGTAGCCACATCACCAAATCCCTAAACAACACCGTTTCATCTCCACACCCTGGGGATGGACCTGAGAACCGCTGCCTGTGTCAATACCGCTGAGGACGTCTTCAATGTGCACCACGAAGCAGGTGGGATCTTTACATAAAGGCGTCATGACTGGCTTCCCTAGGCTCCTCCTCCCCTGCAACCTTCTGCAAACTTCGCACAGTTTACAAGAAAACGCAGAAATTGCTTTCTCTCATGACTCACTAGATAATAAACCCCAATCTGAACAAGTCAGTCCAAATCAGCGTTGTAAAAAGAAAGCAGTGAAGGTTGGAGAATCAAGTGCAAGCTGACATGTGTGGAGTAGAAACAGCCCGTGGCCGAGGGTCACTTCTGGTATTCTCCCTTTGAATTGGAAGGCTGCCCTGCCTGGTTTGCCTCCCTGCTCTGTGACTGTACCCCAGGGTTTAGTAGCTGTTGGTTAGAGGGACCCCCTGCTGTCCAGGAGGACCTAGCAGCCTACAGTCCCTCACTCTGCCTGCGTGTGGAACATGTTTTAAGTCTGACACAGTAAAAAATGCATGTGGTGTTTCTGGAAGGTGCATTATCCCAAATGAGTGCCTACTATTTCCTATCAGCAGAATAACTCAATTTTGCAAACAAAAAAGCACTTTTACTTGATGTGTATTCTGTAGAATAAGTACATTCTGCTCTAGTCAAATTGCCTCAAATCATTTAACAAGCCTAAAAAAAACCACCACTGTTGTTCTAAGCTACCAGAAATACAAGCTGGGTTTAGAAGAGGCTGTGGCACTAGGGACATCGTGGCCAATGTCAGACAGGTCTTGGCTGAAAGCAGAGAGTACCAGAAGAATGTTTATCTGTGCTTCCTTGACTATGCAAAGGCATCTGATCGTGCAGATCACAACAAATGGTGGCTGACCTTGAGAAGAACAGGAATCCAGAACACCTGACTGTGTCCATGTGGAGCTTACACTTGGACCAGGAAACGACTGTCAGAACACTGTAAGGAACTACTGAATGGTTCAAGTCAGGAAAGGCAGGCACCAGGGACACATCCTGTCTCCTTACCTTTCCAATCTATATGTGGGACAGATCATGTAAGGGCTGGACTTTACGAGGAGGAATGCTACATCAGGATTGGAGAAAGACTCATCAACAATCTGCAATATGCAGATGACATAATCTTTCTGGCCAAAACTGAGGAGGACCTGAAGCATTTGCTGCAGAAGGTCAAGAACTGCAGCCTTCACTATGGGCTGAAGCTCCAGCTCAAAGATTCTCACCACCGGGCTAACTGGCAGCACCATGATAGATGGAAAAGAGACTGATGTTAACAATTTCAGCTTGCTCCCACAATCAACACTCTCGGCATCAGCAGTTAGGAAATCAAAAGACAAATTGCACTGGGAAAATCTGCTGTCAGAGACCTCTCCAGAGTGCTCAAAAGCAACGATGTCAGTCTACAGACTAAGGTGCACCTGATCCAGGCCACGGTCTTCACACAATTTCTTGCTACGCTTTAGAAAGCTGGACAATGACTAAGGCTGATAGAAGAATCATTGCCTTTGCGTTGTGGTGGAGCAAAGTCTTGAACATACCGAGGACCGCCAAGAGAGCTAACAGGTCTGTACTGAAGATGGTGAAACCAAGCTGCTCCTTGGAGGCAAGGATTCTGAAGCTCCATCTTACATACTTTGGGCATGGAAGGGGCCAGTCCTTAGAGAAGAACATCATGCTTAGAAGAGCAAAGGGACAGTGCAGGCGAGAAGATCTTAGATGAGACGGATTGACACAGTAACTAGGGCAATGGGGTAGGTGTGTCAGAGATCGTGAGTTCGGCTCAGGATGGGGCAGGGTTCAGAGCTGCTGTACAGAGGGTCACTGTGAGTCTCAGGCCACTTGATAGCACGTAACAACAATAAGCATATACACTTTTAACTTATCTAATACAAAATTATTTTCCACTCTATTTTTTGTGGCAATCATTTGTTTTTAATAATGGAAGGCACTGTGAATGAAACGGAAACATTTCTTTTTCTCTGACGTAATATGAAGTGTGATACAATTATTGTTCCTTTCATGTGCCGTCAAGCTATGACTCACAGTGACTCTAACGATGGGTCTGAACCCTGGACTGTCCTGCACCATCTCCACCGTCTCCGATACACTGAGCCCATTGTTACAGACAAAAGCACGCCAGAGCTCTATCTTCAGTTAGAGAAACACACCACTTCCCTGTTTTAAACAATTCATTGAAAGTGCTTTACTCAGTAAATTTTATCCACTCTGGTCCGGCTCTTGTGTTTGCCTGCCAGGCTCTGCAGACCTAGTGTCCTAGGTATCACTGAGGTGCAGAGAGTGGACGGTCACTGTCTGAGGAGTGATTGGACAATGCACTTTCACCTCAGTGGCCTCTGGCTCTGCTAATCAGAGCAGCATGGCTGCCAGTCTAAGCAGCGCTGGATGTGAACATGAACTTGGACCTTCCTGTTGTCTGCATTTTCACCTGAGGCTCGTGGCTCCTCCCTGTGGTTTGGAGGTTCGTTTCCCAGCCCTGCTATAGAAAAGCTACTTCACCAGCATTTCCCAGCTCTGTCGGGCCAGGGAAATCTCTGCAGAACTCCCCACATTTTAGCAGCCAAGACCCACCGAGTGCAACTCTTGGGAATGGGGTGGTAGTGGTGGTGCAAGGCTCAAGTCCCAGGTGACCACAGTGGGCAGCCCAGGCTGAGCGCCACCTCCCTGCCTAGGAAGCTCCTGTTGTGGTGGTGGGGACGGCGCTGGGGTGTGGTCTGTCACTGTGTGCCACCAAGTTGTAACATGCACAGCTGCCCCTCCGGCAGAGACAGGCCACCCCGTGGGAGCAGACTGCTCTTCTCCAACAGAGCAGCTCGTGGGTTCAGATGACATGCCTTGGCATTGGCAGTGCAATTCCTTACCACAAAACCATCAGAGCTCCCTGGGGTGCAGCTAAGGGCCCCCAAAAACCTGCAGAAGAAAGAGGCAGAGGAGGCCTTCCCAGAACCCCAGCAGCTCTTCCAGACGTGAAGTCCAACGTGCGTCCAAGCTGCTAAGTGACCACTGGGCAGGCGATGAATGCCCAGCATCCACTGCATGGCCCCTACTCACTTGTGGTGGAGGACACCGACTTCCCAATGTCCACTAAGGAGCGGTGGATAGGCTTCTTGGTCTGGTGGCGGTGCTTCCGCAGCAGGACGTAGCTGACCCTCTCCCGGAGCTCCGGCCGCAGGAGGCCATCCTCAATCTGCTTCTCAATGACATCATCTGCGTGAGAAACAGAGCGCTGGGCACACAGGACAGAGCCACGAAGTGACCCAGGGTCCCACCTGTCACTAGTGGAGTTGAGAGAAAGTGTGAGGTGGAAAGGTGGCCACGGTCTCGGCCACCGATTGGATCTTTGGTCAAGACACACACCTTCTGCTTCCCCAAGTGTGAAAGATAAAGGTGTGCATATATTGTGTTATCAAGGCTCCAGAGGAAAGGAAATCAAATAGTATATATACGGGACTCCAAGAAGCACCAAAGTACTGTTACTTTTAACAGTTTGTGTCCTTAAAACAATTCTCTTTACAAAGTATTTTTGGAAAATATTTTTGGCAAAATGGAATGTGACAGAGTAAATCCCAAGCTCACTGCCGCTTCCTCTGACCTATCTTAGTGGGCCCACCAGTGGGTTTTCAGAAGCTGTGACTCACACGGGAGAAGAAAGCTCATCTTCCCCCCATGCACACAGTGGATCCGAAGCCTCCTTTACTTCACAGCCGCTCACAAGCCCCTGATGACAGACAGGGACCATGTGGCCATGGAGTCCATGGGCTGGGAACTGAACCCAGGTCTCCTGCACAGAAGGTAAGACTTCCACCCCGACCCCGTTTTTGTCATACAGGTATGTATCATCTAAGAGGATCATCTCTTTCTTAAACTCTGATGTCACTGAAGCTGGGAGCAGCGGTGACACTGCTGGGGACATCGTAGGAAGCCTGCAGGATCGGGCAGGTGCCGGTGCCGGATACGAAGCAAGGGGCGCTCCCGCGGCCTGGCCTCACCTATGATCTGGGGCAGGGAACAGCTGTCCAGGTCCAGCAGCACCGTTCCTGTTTGCAGGCAGGTCCGGAGCTCGAACAGGCTGTGCAGGGATAGTGTGGACACGTGCGGCTTGCTCCAGCGTTCCCCTCCTTCTTCAACCTTCTCTTCAAACTTTATCCACCTGGAAGGACAAGGATGGGCTCAGCTTCGCAGTGTCCCCAGGAGGATCCTGGGAGCCACACTGTGGATACTGCGGGACACTCGGTCTCAGTGTCAGAGGCTCTCCTGAGACCCCTGCATGACTTCTCCACACCTGCTAACACTGCATCCTCAGAACAAAGGTGCCCAGAGAACCACTGTAATTGGTCTCGAGGGTTCTCTGCAGGGCTCTGTGTGGGGGGTGATACAGATGTGCTAATGGCAGGTTATGACGGCGGCAGGAGTCTGCAAGTTTACTAAAAGCCATTTCAACAAAGATACTAGAAATGCGAGGATCTTAAAAGTATATAAATACACCTCAATAAAGGGGCTAAATGAAATGTCATCTGGAATCTAGGGTGGGTCACAAGGTAGTTAGCACCTGCCTTATGGAGTATGTTTTGCTAAGAGCCAGGAAGTCTTCCCCTAGGGCTTCTCTGATTATCACTCTTAGAGTTTGGGCTCTGAAAGATTAGGTGAAAATCTAGACATCAGGTGGGAGGAAATCAGAAGGTGAAGGAAGATGTCTGTGTCACACAGAGGTCTCTGAGTCACAGGTGGGGTGAAGGGGCTGAGAAGGAGGGCCTCAGATGCTGGGCAGGGCAGCACTGGCTGTTTCTCCCCTCGGATGGCTACCTGTGAAAGACACCAATCCACAGCTTTGTGCAGACGTGACTCACCTTAGAGTGTGGCTTCCACCTACTCTAACCCAGGGTAGAACATGACTAGAAAACACAACCTCACTGCCATTCAGTCTTAACCAACCCCAAAAACCTTCCAGCAGGTTTTTAAGAGGCTGTATCACACAAGAGGAGATTGTCTATCTTTCTCCCAAGGAGCCACTGGTGGATTTGAACGGCCAGAGAGATACCACCTTCACTTCAGCAGCACAACTCCCTATGGACTACATCACCAGAGATTAGTGAATTTTCAAATTCCTTTGAAAAGGTGATTACTTGCCACAGAAGATACAGAAATGTATTTGTTCCCGGGTTTAGGCACCAAAAGAAACACAGACACACACACACACACACACACTAAAAAAAAAAGAAGATACAGAAATTTGCTTAGCACCTTGAGTGAGCAAAACAGTAATATGCCAGTCCAGGAGCACACAAAGTCTAGAAACAGGTTAGATGCAGATCTGGACACATGTGGGAACTCAGATTTTGAAAATGGAGCTCTTTAAAAGATAATCAAAGTATGAATGGAAAAGAAACCCAAGTCCTGACTTCTCACCAAACGCAATATTTATCCTACATGGATTCTATTCTATGTGAAATAAATTCTAAATATAAGAATAACTTATAAATAAAATTGTTAATGCATGAGAAGAAAACATAGAATATTCTTATATGCACAGCTGTGGAGAAAGACTTAAACAGGGCATTAATCTTCAAAGGAAAAAAATTAGAATTAATTGTACAAAAATAAAACAAATGAAAAGTTCTGGAAAACAAAATAAGGCATAAATTTCAAGAGAAGTAACACACTGGGGAAGGTATTTGCAACAAAAAGAGCATCAAATAAGAGGCCATCAAAGGCCTAATATTTACAATGTAACAAAGCTCCTTCAATTCAGTTAGGAAACTCAAATTGTCCCTTAGAAAAGCAAACCATTCTAAGAATTTTGAGTGACTGATAAACATGAAAAGATTCTCAATTTCAGCTGTAAGGAAGGACATATTTAAATTAAAACAAATGAAGCAACATTTCTTACTGCCCAGACTGACAAAATTTCAAAAGACTGACAACTTCTGGTATCAATGAAAATATGGAGAAATAGGGACTCAAGTATTTCAGGTTTTGAAGTGGAAAGACTAAGTAGCTACTCTTCAATATGTTCAATAACTCAACAATAAGAAAACAAACGCCCCCCTCATAACTGGACCAATAAACAGCATCATGAGAGATTAAGATTGCAGTTGCCAGGGATTTCTTCTTACTTGTACCCACAGTCAGAACCCACGGAAGCAGGAGTTACAAAATCAAATGCATGAAGAAATCATCAAAATCACCGGCAATAAGAGAGATTAAATTCAAAACCACAATGAGGTGCCATGTCACCCCAGGAGCAGAGGCAAAATTTAACAAGACGGCAAGTCATACATATTGGAGAGAAGGTGGGGAGACTGGGACTCTTGTGCACTGCTAGTGGGATTGTAAAATGGAACAACCACTCTGGAAGGCAGTTGGGTTTTTACTCAAAAAGCTGGACACAGAAATCCCACATGATGCAGGTATTCCACTGCCTGGAATATACCCTAAGGAAAACAGAACTGAGACACAGATATTTGGTTCATAATAGCAAGAAAATGAAAGCAACCCAAATGACCATCAACAAACGAATGCCTTGAGAAATGATGGTACATTCACGTAATGGAATATTAAGCAATACTAAGAAGCAACAATTTCATAAAATACTATATAACATGGGAGAGTCTCAAGAATATCATGCTGAATAACTCAATTTCACAAGGACAAATTCTGCATTATTTTATATTATTGCAAAAAGAGAAAGTTAACTAGTAAGATGTGTGTAAAAATTCTACAAGGAGAAGGGGACGGGACCAGGAGGCTGAGAGTGGGCAGCTGGGCAATCGCGGAGTCACAGAGCTTGGTGGGCAGAGGGAGGAGGTGAAGGAACTGGGAAGGATCCAGTGGGGACCTGAAAACATGAGGAAACAGTGGGCACAGACATCCTGTGGTTATATTTATGAAACAATATACAGGAATGATGGTATGAAACCTAATATGAATGAATGTGTGAAACACAATGTACATGAATAAAACACAATGTATATGAATTTTGTATGCAAACCAATATAAAATAAAACTTTAAAAAAGAAATTAAACAATGTATTGCTGTCAAAGACCTTTTCTTCTCCTCTCTCCTCTCCTCTCCCCTCCTCCCCTCTTCTCTTCTCTAGGACCTCTTTAAAGTGCTAAAGTGTATGGACGTCCTGTTGAGGTCCAAGGCATGCCTGACTCAGGCCATGGTGTTTCTGGTCACCTCATAAGCATGTGAAAGCTGGATAATGGGTAAGGAAGATGAAAGAAGATGCGAAGCTTCTTCGGAGATTGAAGATTCACTGGTGAAGAGAATCGAATAAAAAGCTGAAAGAACGCACTCGTCTCTCCTGGGGAGAGTTCAGCCAAGGTGCTCGTCAGAAGCGCGGACGGTGAGTCTTCATGTCACAGACTTTGGACATGTTGTCAGGAGGGGTCACTCCCAAGAGGACACCATGTTTGCAAAAGCAGAAGGTCAGTGAGAAGGAAGACCTTCAGGGAGATGGACGCAGTGGCTCAAGTCCAGCAGTGACAGCGAGGACGGCACAGGGTCCAGCAGTGGTTTGTCCCACAATACGAGGGGTTATGAAGAGTCAGCAAGGACTTAGAACACAGCAAGAGCATCAGTACTGCAGGCTGGGGGCCTGGGCGGTGCACAAGGTTAAGACTGGTTGATCGAAGCCACTCCTTTCAAGGAAAGGTTGGCAACCCGCTTCACCGACAGTCCCTACCTCGACATTCTACAGGACAGCCTCTTCTGCAACACCTGAGGTCAGCACTCTGAGACAACTCACTTTGTTAGCTGTTGTTGTTATTAGGTAACATCAAATGAAATACAACTCAAAGAGACCCAATGAGTAATAGATCTGAACTCTGTCCTGTCCTGTGTCATCCTCACCATCTTTGACACATGGAGTCCACTGTAGTGGTCACTGTGTAATCCACCTAGTTGAGGGTCTTCTCTTTCGCTGACCCTCCTACTTTCCAAGCATGACGTCTGTCTCCCAGGAGTGTCCTCTCAACAACATGCCCAAAACATGAGAGATGAAGCTTCAACCACCCTTGCCTTTAATAAGCACCTTGGCTACACTTTTCCAACACATATTTGTCCGTTCTGGCAGTTCATGGGATATTCAGCTGACTTCTACAACAACGCAGCTCAAGTGCATCAATTCTTTCCGTCATCCTTATTTACAGTCCAGCTCTCAGATGCATTGCAGGTATTTGGAAAGACTGTGACTTGAATCGGGCACACACTAGTCTTTAAGATGATATCACTGCTCCTTAAATAACCTAGAGAGGTCCCTGATGGCTGGCCTTTCCCAAAGCCATAGTTCTCCCAATCTCCTGACTGCTTGTACCAAGAGTGCTAACTGCAGATCCAATCAAGATGAGATCATTAATAGTTTCTATGTCTTATCCATCTAGCATGACGCTGCCTAGGGGGCCACTGGTGAAGGATGTTTATTTTCTTGATGTCAAGAGGTAACCCAAATTGAGGCTGTAGTCTCTGATCTTCTGCACCAAGAGCTTCAGGTCCTCCTCACTTCCAGCAAGCAGGGTTGTGCCATCTGCATAACGTAGCTTGCTAGTTTATACTGCAGGCTTCACGGCAGGCCTGTCCCGGGCCAGATGAGCATCCTCTGTAGGTTTTTAAATTGTACATCTTTATGATGTAGTGACTTCATCTCATGGAAATCATCACAGGAACAGAATGGCACATCTGCACAAGTCACAGGTGTAAAACGACACCTTCTACAGCTAGGAGGGTGGAAACTCCGCGAAACACTTAATTCCACAGTAGGACATGGTTACTTGTTCCCATATGACCAAGCCATAGACCAGCCCTGAGGGAGAGACAGTGTGAGGGCAAACTGTACACACACACACACCCTGCTGGATGGTACTTTATACTAAAAAGAAAATCCTATGTTTCTGTAAAAATGGGGGGCTGAGGAGAAAGAATAGAAAAAGAGTGGCTAGATAGTGAACACTGCATTAGATCAGAGGAGGGGAAGAACTGTCTGAAAGGAACATATGATTACGCATTATTTGTATGACAACAACCTGGAATAAGGGGTGCACCGCACCGTGGGGAGGGCTGGAGGAAGGGCAGGGAGAAGAAAATGTGCAGCAATGAAAAAAATTAATAAGTCTTTATTGAATTCTAAAAAAAAAAAAAGAAAACAAAAA